TTTCTCTTAAAGGAGTTTTTAGAAAAACAGGAAGCGAATTCTCATTTTGTTATTGTGCTANTTCTAGAATATTTAAAAAAATAAGTTAAAATTTCTAGAAATAAATGTAATGTATTATTTTTACAAAACTTAAAAAAGAAATTAACATAATTTTTGGTCTTAAATCTTTACATATGAGCTTATACATAGGTTCAATGTAAAGAAAAGTTGAATACTGATCGAAATATCTATAACTTATAGATCAATCACTTCGAAATATCTATTATAGAATAGTCCAGAAAGTTATCTATTCTTCAGATTCTATAATCTAGAAGCCTAGAAAATCTTATTACCTTCGATTTTTCTCATCTATTTCTTTCCACGAATCGACAATTTGGAAAAGTTATCAAGAGAATCTACATTTAGAAGTTGTTTTTTTTTTTTGTTTCTTTCATTAAATTTATTTATTTTTTTTGTTAATTAAAAAATAATTTTGTTTTATACAATTTAAAACTTTATATAATTTCTTTAAAAGTTGTTTATTTTTAAAAATAATTCGAGAATATATTTTAAAGTGAATTTAAAAAAATAAAATTTAGAGGAAAAAACTAAAGCTTTTTTCAAGTTTTTAAAATTTTTAAATATTTATTAAAAAATCAGAAATTTATTTTTAATGATTTATAAAGAAGTTTAAAGAAATTTTAAATATAAAAGTTTATTTTTAGAAGTGTTAAAAAAATTGACAAAAATGGTAAATTAAAAATTATATAAAAACACAAAAAATAATACATAAAAAAAACGAAAATAAGTTTAATATTAAATAATTTTATGATTTCTCTGTTTTATTTATTTATTTAATTTTCTATTTTTTAAAATAAATTTTTTAATTAATATAGTAAAAGTAGATAGAAGTGAAGAAAAAAAAATCAAAAAAATTATCAAATTTTTACATGTTTTGGACTTGATAAAAGTAGTTAAAGTTTAAAAACATTCGACTTTTATTATCAAACAACCTTAATTATATCTTTTACTAAGGATACAATATTATTGTAAATATAATAGATGACTTCCTAGCTACTTAAATATCATAATCCAACAACAATATATCTGATAAATTTTGATACAGAGTAGAGTAGAGATCGATCAAGCTGAATCTGTTTATCGATCAATAATAAGGTCTGAAGGACATTTCGTGTAATGTGTAATAGTGTAATTATCGGATGAGAACAGATTGAACGTGTAGTGAATGTGAGCTTCAGACAGGCAGATAATGTTTAGTTATGACGCTTGACTATCTCTTGCTCAATTTGCCAACAACATCTGTTGATAAATTTTACGACGTTTCTATCGATTTTTCTCTCGTTTTGTCACCCTTAAACTATATTCGAAGTATATAATAATTAATAAATTCACTTCATAACAAAGATTTTATTTTTAATTTTCTCTTAAAGGAGTTTTTAGAAAAACAGGAAGCGAATTCTCATTTTGTTATTGTGCTATCAGTAACTGTTACAACGGCATAAATATAAGAAAATTATGATGTCTCTGTTGTTTATTTACATCTATATTTAATTTATTTTTTATTTTTAATGTTTAATTATTTATAAAATTGATTTTTTATATTTCTTCGGCTTTATGGAACTTAGTTATGAGTGGATGATTTATGTTCAAATTACTTAATTCTTTAAGATATTTTTAAGTAATTTATGAGAAGAAACTCTTCAAAAAATCACTTTTAGTTATTTATTTTCTTGTTTTTTTTTTTAGCTAATAATAAACTTGTCTTCAAAGTTTATTCACGTAAAAGTTATCTTAATCTCTCCATGTAAATTATATACGTCCCAAAGGAGTCGTTTTGAAATTAGTGCAGAAATTTATTTTAATGTTGTTTATAAATTTATATAAATTTTAATTTAATAATTTTAATTATAAGGAGGAATAAAAAAAACAATAAATGGGATCAAATACTTAATTTTATATTTAAAAAAATGTCTTTAAAAAACGTAACTTAATTACAAAATATGTTCGAATAATCATATCTTTCACAATATATTTAAACAGGGTCTTGACCTCACGAGAATAATTACTTGAATTTATCTAGCATACATCATTAACTATATAAAGAAACCCATTATGAAGAACATTAAGCATCTTGAGATCCAGATGAACCAAATTTACATTAATATCACAGGATCATATTACAACTGTACAAGCTAATTTATAGCAATTTCTCAAAATAGTTAAACGATGCATACAAATTCTGTTAACATCATTTTTTAAATGTAATTAATTTGAATGCGAGTTAAGAAATTAAATATAAATTTATAACGGTAAACGATTATACTTACTAACCGATAGATCGCGATCCCCAACAATAGAAGAGTTATTACTCGTAAGTAACGTTATATAAGTTATATTGTCATTATGTACTATTTTAGGAAGCTATGACGGTATTATTTGTAAAAATTATCGATAAATAACGTATAAACGGTGGTAAAAATCATTTTTTTAAACTCATTTAAAAAGATTAGGTTGAGAAGTTACGTCAATCCAACTAATACTTTGTATTCGAATTACACGTAAAAAACTGTATAATTTATGACTTTACATTAAAATGTAATGCAGAAATTAGATAAAGAAAATGTCATTTAGTCAATAAATCACTGTCAAATAATTTTAAAAAATTACAAATTGAATAATTTTAATTCTTATTTATTAACATTCATAAAATGATAGAAAACGATTTAATTATATTCTTGAAACAAATCATTAAACATCCTAATTAACTTAATTAATTCTTCATGCTAATTATATGATATTAATTTTGGATATATTAATATAATTATCTGTTGTATATGACTAAATCTTATTGTTCATTTATAACGAATATAACAATAATTTATATAAATAAATTTTATAGAATTATTTTTAAAATAATCTTATAGTTTATTAATAAAAAAAAATTTATACTTTTATAATATATT